GGGAAGCTTCAGAGAGCCGTTTCCTGTTGTATTCCTTTATAATCTGTATACAGATTATAATCTGTGTTCCTCTGGATTATAACATCATGTAGAAATACGTATTCCTACAGATTGTAACGTCATGTGGGAATACAGCTTATAGCAGCAGATGGCCCTGTGGTCTGAGGGGCTGCACCATCCGAGCATCTTGGTCATGGACAACAGAGTTGGTTCAATACTGGGTTGCAAGTTTGTTGGGGTGTGAATAGGATCCATAAATTTTAAATGGAATCATGGAAACCCTTAGTCCTTTTGGAAATGTATGAGCTAAAGTGTGTGCTTGCGCTACGGTTTGGTCTGGGGCAGCACAGTCAGATCTCTGCTGACTGCTGCCGTCATGGAGATGAGGCTGAAACTTGGATAAAGACCTGTCACAAAAAGGTCCTGGAGAAACTCTATGCTTGATGTTCCATCCCACTAAGTGCTTTCTGTAAGGGGGAGTAACTCAGCTGAAGAACTGGCCCCACAAACCATCCTTGCTGCAGAAATAGGCCAGTGGTCTTTTGGTGGCTGTGTGGCTTCTCTGGTGCCCGGGATGCGGTTGTGCGTGAACCTGCTGGTGGCTGCCTGTCCTCGGCGTGTCTGTAGAGCATTTGATGCTCGTTGGGTCTGTGCTGAGCCTCAGAGGTGGTGGAAATAATGCTCTTAGTCTGGGCGTGGGGAGAGAAGGTGACTGTGAGATCTACATGCTGTCCAGCCACTAGAGGGAAGGGTTGTCTCCTTATTCTGAGCTCCAGGCAGCACACAGCTTGCAGGAGCCTCTCTGCTCAGCTTGGTGGGCTCGGCATGAGTTTTGTGCTAAAAAACATACAAATCCCCAGGCTGCTCCTATAGGATTGATAAGGCGGTGGGTTGTTCTGAGATAGACCAACGGTTCCTCTAGCCTGGTGTCCCAGATGGGCTGCCTTGGGGAGGGCAAACATTCTGCAATAGCTTTCCCGGTGGCTTTGCTGATTTCCAGCCTCGTGTGGGCCAGGGTCTTCACAGCTGAACCAGCTGCTGCAGGAGCCACCTCCTCCCCTCCTGCTGCCTTTGGCTGGGGGAGAGCCCAGGGCCAGGGATGTGGCAGGAGCTCCTGCTAGGAGCCGTGGAGCAAGTTCTGCAGCCGGAGGCTCTTTGTTAGCCTCTCAAAACCCGGTTTGCCCACCCACCAGCCCTGTCGCCCGGGGGGAGATGTTCCCCCACGTCAGCAGGAAACCCAGAGCCCAGCCTGCTCCCAGGGGAGACACCCTGCCTTGTGCAAGGCGGCTCTAGCAGCAATCAAGGAAGTGCAGATTGAAGGATGATGTTCTTACCCTCGCCTGAAACGCTGACTCCAGTGCTTTTTCATCTGCGCCTGGTTTTTTTCTTTTTTTTCCCCCCTGTGCTTTAGCAAACAGCAAGACTCCGGTCCCGTCTGATCCACGGCTGAGGAAGTTCCCATTCCCTGTCTCTTGAGCTTGCGCAGGACTCGGTGGAGCAGGGAAGGGGAACTGGCTCTTCCTGAGGCTGCGTAGCCGAGGAGAACTTCTCTGGGCACATCCTTTGCCTCTCTGGGGACAACCGGGGCAAACCCACTTGCTCCCTTTGCTGTGTCTTTGTGGTCTGCACAGGCACGTGGAGCCTTCAAACCCTGCCTGGGCACGAACGTCTCCCTGGACACTGGGCAATGCGCTGATTGGGGTGCAGGGCTGATGGACTGATGGGGTGCAGTGCTGATGGGGTGCTGTGCTGCTGATGGGGTGCTCTGCAGATGGGGTGACACACTGGTGGGGTGCAGTGCTGATGGGGTACATGTCGTGCAGGGCATCATGTGGCCATGGAGAGCCCATCCTGGCTCCACAGCTTTTGGGGGGCTCACCACACCACCACCCCCAGTGCAGCTGTGTCCTGTCGAGCTGGTCAAAGCCACATCGCCACTGGGCCTCTCTCCGTGACCACCCCTGAGGTCTGATGGAGCCACCCAGCTCTCCAGGCTCACTTCCTTCCCCGCTTCCTTCCCCCTGGATAAATTCAGCCCTGCACCTGCCTGCGGGAGCGGGGCCAACCCCCCTCTTCCTTCCTCCGGGAAAGACCAATGCCCTCTTCACAATAACACATCCCTCCTGCCCCAAACCTGCCCCTTGGACCTTTTCCTCTCTCCCAAGCGACTCCTGCCCTCCCTCCCCACAGCTGGGACCCCGGTGGCTCCGGTACCACGGGCTCTCTGCTCTGTGTGGTTTCCCAAACCCAAAGCCTCCTGCAAGGTGGAAACTCCCTGACCCAGGAGGTGCTGCTGACTCCCACGAACTTGCGGGGCTGCAGCTGATGCAACTTCAGCCTTCGTGCTCTTTTCCTGGCCCCTCTCCTTTGGCTCCAGACCGATGAGGGTGGGAGGGACCCCATTTCTCATCAAAGTATTTTGGCTCCATCTCGCCTGGATGTAAATCCTGGCGGTGAGTTCCCTCTGGGATCTTTGCTGTACGGCCAAACCCCCTCAGTTTTGGATTTGTGCCCGGTTTTTTTCGCTGGGGTTTCAGTTGAAAATTTCCTCCTGGCTTGGCATTAGCTGCCGGGAGTCACATCTGCTCCGCAGACCCCTGCCGCCCGCTCAAGAGGTCCGAGGTCGTGTTGCAGTTTCCTGCATCGCTTGGGGATGAGCATGGACCAACCTGCCGGGTCCCCAGGGTGGAGGACAGTGGTGTTGCTCAGCCCTTGCTGGGTCCCAGAGCAGCTGTGACGTGCGAGTAGGGAGCATCCAGCGTTGGGGACGCTCCCCAGGTGCCAAAACACTTTGCAGAGCTGCAGCCACCGCTTGAACCTGCTGGAGCTGGGCATGGGGGTGGTTCCCCAGCAGCCAGGAGGAGCATGCTGGGCTCTTTGGGCCAGATCCTGATTTTAGGGGCATTACTTTGACCTGAGAATATCTGCAATGGCCATGAGAGATCTGCTCAGGAGCTGATGTGGAAGAAGCTGTACCTCCGTCAACCAGCCCTTGGGTCCTGGGGAGGATGTACACGCAGAGCTGAGCTTTCGGGGTTATGGCTGTTGGACCTGAATCAGCTGATGATGGTGGTGGGAAGCAGCCAGACAGATGAATTTGTCACCTCGTGCTTCCCTCCTGCTCCAGGACCTGAAAGTTCAGGGCACTTGGTGTTCAGGTTTTTACCTTTTCTGTAGAAACGTGCTGCAGGTGTGAGATATCCCAACCACCTCCCGTGTCACTGGGTGCCAAGCACGGGTGGATCCTGCATGTCCTCGATGTGTCCTTCCTCCATTGCCTGGCCCACGACCTGTCCTTCAGGCACATCCCAAATGGGGACAGGCAGGAAAGCCAGGGGCTGCTGGGTTGTGCAAAGCCCTGATTCCCGCTGGTCCTGGCTGAAAACAATCCACCAGAGGCTGCTGCCTGATGCTGTGGGCTCTTTGATGTCTTCTTTTCTCCTAATAAGATGCTGCTGCAGGTGACAAATAGTTTCTCTTGTACCCACACAAAACCAGCGCAGGGAGAACTGATGCCTCGTAGGGCTTGGGCTGAGCTCCATCGTGGCCATCTGCTCTGGGAAGCTGCTGGAAAACCGAGGGTGTTTGCCATTGCCGGGCAGGTGACTTTATTTTTAAAGGCTGTCCCTGAACATTGTGCCTCAAGGGCAGACCCTGGCATCACCTGAAGCTGAGAAGCATCCGTTATGGGGGTGGGAGTCCAGATCCTGCAGAGATGTGTCCCCCGGGGGGTGCAGGCTGCTTGGGGTCAGAAGGTAAAGCCATGGCCACCGCAGGGGAAGCCAGGCAGGGTTCAGGGAGGCAAACCTGAGCCCTCCTGCTCCGTGCAGACCTGCCCAGCGGCCAGATCCTCCCAGCACCTCGGGCTGCTGGGTTTGTGGTTTCCTTTCTCACACTCCTGCTGCTCCCCCACCTCGCCCCATCACCGGCAAGCGCTTGGCTGAACCTGAGTTCAACACACGTTTAAGTGAAGCCTAGAAATGTGTCTCTCGTTAGAACTGTCCCAGGGCCAAACAACTGGAGAACAAGTCTTATGAGGAGAGGCTGAGGGAGCTGGGGTTGTCCAGCCTGGAGAAAAGGAGGCTGAGGGGAGACCTTATTGCTCTCTACCTGAAAGGAGGGTGTAGAGAGGCGGGCGTCAGTCTCTTCTCCCGAGTCACAGGTGCTAGGACAAGAGGAAATGGCCTCAAGTTGCACCAGGGGAGGTTTAGATTAGATATTAGGAAAAATTTTTAAATGGAAAGGGTTATCAAGCATTGGAATGGGCTGCCCAGAGAAGTGGAATTGTCATCCCTGGAGGTATTTGTAAGATGGGTAGACACAGTGCTCAGTGACATGTTTTATTGATGGTGTTTAGAGTTAGGCTGATGGTTGGACTCGACGATCTGAAAGGTCCCTTCCAACTTAGGCAACTCTATGAATGTTTAGGTGTTTCCAGCCATGCCAGCATCTCACCTCACCATGTGCTGGGCTGCTCCCCTGGGGAAAGACAGGCGACTGGGAGCACTGGGGCCGTGCTGCTGCCTCCCACCCCCCCAACAACACCCACAGGCGTCACGCGTGGGGTGCTCCACGTGTTTTAAATCCCCACTGGGGAGTCTGAACCCCGGCGCAGAGTCCTGGCCCGTGCTGGGCCATCCCACGCTGGCTGGCCGTCCCTCTGGGCGCTGAGCGTGCCGGCGCAGGCTCGCCTTCCCCCAGCAGTATTTAAATACCACAACGGGCTTCTGAGCTCACCCCACCTCCGAGACCGACAGAAAGTAAGTCTGCTCTGTGCAGAGGAAGTTTTTCTGGGTTTTTTTCTGGGTTTTTTTTTCTGTTTTTTTCCCGGTTTTTTTTTTTTTCTGCTTTTTCTTTTTTTTTCCCTTCCCCTCTCTCTGGCTTTTCTGTTTTGGATGGTGTCCAGCTTTGCCTGGCACTGAAACCTCTGGCTGATTTTTGCCTGCGTGCTGGGGTGGGGGGAGAGGATGAAGGGAGATGGGGTGTGCAAAAGACAGGAGGGGGGAGAAATTATAGCAGGATTTCATCTCCTTTCCCCCAGCAGGCTGCTGTCCCGGGAAAGCCCAGAGCCGGCAGCACGGGACCGTGTGCCAAAAAGGAGCTCAGCGTCCAGGAATGGTGCGTGGGTGGGGGTGTGGGTGCCCACCCATGAGCGTGGGATGCCCACTGCGGGGTCTGGGGGGGGCCAGCTTCCAGCGGGTTTTCCCGGGACAGCTGGAGCTGCTGGCGGGGTCAGGACGTGACATCACTTGCTGGAGAAAAACCCTGGGTCCTGGGTTTCTGTAACGAAACCCCGGCGAGCGCCGGAGCTGGCGGCTCTCCCTGCTCCTGCCATCCCCAACCCTCCTGAGCCTGGCGTGCACTTTTTGTCTTCTTAACTTTTGTTTGATTGTGGTTTTTTTGGGTTTTTTTGGTTTTTTTTCCCCCCAGTAAGAGCAGAAAGCGCAGCGGAAGGATTTGGGGCTGGAAGCCGGGAATGCCAGGGAATGAGGTGAGTGCTGGGGGTGGAAAAAGCCGGAGCTGCACCCCAGAGGATGCTCCTGGGGTGATTTTAGGCACAAGTTGGGCAAGATCTGGTCGAGGTTAAGCTGGGAAGGAGCAATCCTTCACCCAGCCGGGGCAGGGACGCCTGCAGAAGGCTCTTCCCCTTCCTCCATCACGGCTCGGCTCAGCTGCCAGGGTGTAAATACAGAAGGAGCCTGTTTGGGGGATGCGGGAGGGTTGAGGAGCCGCTGCCGGCGGGGTCGGGGATTAGAGCAGATGGCCTGGGGTGTGCAGGGGAATGGGGGACACGCAGGGGACAGAGGGACAGGCAGCCCTGCTGGCAGCTCCTGGTGTGGGTAGAGACCCGTTTCCCGGGTGGGACAGTCCCGGCAGTGGTTTTGCTGGTGTCGGAGGGAGGGAGGGAGGAAAGTTGTGGGCGGGGGGAACCGGCTGAGAATGAGCAGCAGAGATGGTTTTTCAGCAGCTGGCATGTCTCCTCTCCTCTTCTTCCCCCAGCTCGCAGGCCTGGAGCTCCCGGTGTTTGGGGTTACGGCTCTGACCGTGGAGTAATCGCCCTCGGGACTGAACCAGAGCAGCTGGGCACCGTGGAAGCTGTTGAACACCTCTTTGCAGGACTTCTAGCAAGTCACTGGTGGCAGCTGTGAGATCCCAGCCCCCAGGAATGAGGTACCCCCCAAAGAACCCTCGGTCCCACACGCGCGTCATCCCCAAAATGAACTGGATATGCTGCCTCTAGCCTGGAGAGATGGGGCTTTGCTTTTCTGCTTGGAGGCATCTTGGGTGACTTGGAGAAAAGCTTTTTTGGTGCCTTTGGGCCAGGCTGTGGTCCTCAGGGAGCTGGTGGTGTGGCAGGGAGACAGGGCAAGGAGCAGGACAGAGCTAGGGGACAGTGGGGCTGGCCAGGGGGAGAGGCAAAGTGTGTGCAGTCCCGTTCCTGGAAGCCGTGCTGGCTCCATTTTGCACGAGTTGGGGATTTCCCAGCATCAGGCAAGCTGGGGGGAAACACCAGGGTGGCTTCCCACTGGCAGCTGCCCCCAGCCGGGGTGCTGGGGGCTGAGTCCTGCTGCTGCTCTGGGGGGTGCTGCTCCAGAGCTGGGTCCTCAGGGGCTGTCTCAGAGGATGCTCACACCTCTCGTGGATCTCAGCAGCACCACGTGGGCTCGCACGAGGAGGGTTTGGTGGTAGGGATGTGCCACTGAGAGTTTAGGGCTTCTCCGCAGCTCCCCCAGCCTTCGTGCTGAGCCTCGATCCCCCTCCCGGCATCTTGTCTTGGCTCGTTTCCTGGAATTTTCCATCGTTTGGGTTATATTTGGGACCGGCAGCCAATAACCCCGTTTCTCACGGACAGCCCAGCTGGGGCTTGGCTCCAGCAGGAAGCACAGAGGGAGTGGGGCCAGCACCCCAAGACCGTACTCCCCGGCATCGTCCTTCTGCAACCCCCCTTCCTTGGGTGATTAAAACCAGACACGGCTATTGCAAAGGCTGGAAAAGATGGGGTACTTTCATCTCTCTAGGAGCCCCATACACCCACAGCCCCTGGCTGGATTGGGGCTGAGGAGGCTGCAGTGAAAGGGATGCTCAGGAGAGGTAACTTTGTCCTGTGGGGTGCTCCTGATGTATTTTCACATCCACCAACAAGAAACCCAGGTTGTAAAGATGCTCTAGCACAGGTTGAAGATCAAACTTTGCAACAGGACCTCTCCAGGGCTTGAAGGGAGACTCAGGGACAGGGCTGTCGAGTCAGCAGCCAGACTAGACGCTTCCTAGAGCAGCGAAAAGCCAGCCGAGCCCCAGGGCCAGCTGGTTTCTGGTCAGACTGTCCATCTGGAGGCTGGCTGGCTGTTTTGGGGCTCTGGCAGATGGCAGCTGAGCTGATGCCTGCTCTGCTCCTCCGCTGGGGATGGGGCAGGACGGGACTTCCACGCTGCCTGTGGTGGGGAGAAGGGAATCCCCTAAAGCAGGGAAGCAGAAGAAGACCTCTGGGCGGGCGAAGGCAAGATGCCCCGGGGAAGCCCAAGGGGGTTGTGCAGAGCTGGCAGTATTTAGCCTCCGCTTTGCTCTACGGTGCCTGGAGCCATGTGGATCTGTGCTCTACCTCCGTGGGCTCTTCCCAAAGCAGGAGTCTCCCTGTGGAGTGCCCACAGTGTTGGACCCCTCGTGCTCCCCGGCAAGGGTTGGATCGTGCTGCTAAAGCGTCTGCCTGTGGTTTCCAGTGAGATGCTTGTGTGAGTGTGTAACCGTCTGGGCCTGCATCCAGAGAGGATGCACTCGGCAGCGGAGGTGCTGGTGTCGGAGCCTTCCCCTCTCCTTCCCCTCCACAACCTTTAATGCTTCCCAGGGGCACCTGCAAAGCACTTTGCCCCCTGAAGCCTTCGCTTTCACAGCCTTTAATATAAAAGCAGCTCGGGGCGGGAGAGTTTTGAAATTGGGGAAACTGAGGCAGGGAGTGCAGGACTGTCCCCGCTGCCCGTCACCCCGGGCACCGGTGGTGTCTCTGACCGATCCCTCCTGCTGGATTTCTGACTAAAGCTTATTTGGGGTCAAAAATGGAAGTTTTCATTAATGACCTTGCCTTGTGTCTGTAAGACTTCGTGGAGAGGAAGCCCCCCTCCTGCCGCTCTGCCTGCTTTCCCCTTTTGTTTAGCCAGTTTCTAAACAGACCTTTCAGAGTTGTTTTTAATTTACAACAAAGCCTTCGCCTTGCCGTGTTCCTCTGTGGTTTTCAAATGATAAAAAAAGAAAAAAAAAAAAAGAAAAAAACTCAAGTAAAAAACCAAAACAACTCTCCAATCTGAAATTAGCGGCTTAGTTTGACCCTGAACTTACATCCCTCCCATCCAGTTCATTTCCTTTCGTCTCTGGGCCTGCCAGCAATCTAGGAAATCAGTTTTTCACGTGTCTCTGCCTGCTACATCCCTGGCAGCGGCTCTGCCTTGCCCTGGTAGAGCTTAACCCTGTGCTGACCTGGTTCTTGCTAAACCCAAAGGAGTCTCACTTCTGCTGCTGCCAGTGAAAACAGGGGCAGGACTGAAGCCAGCAGCCTTTGCAGCCATGGACGGGGTTTTGTGGCCATTCAGCTGGGTTTGAAGCCAGCCCTCTGCAAAGCCAAGGCTATTTTGGGTGTGCGGATGGGGGTGAGCACTGAGCATGCTGTGGTGTGGATGTCCCATGGGAAGCGGCCGCCTCTTTCCATCCAGCAGCTTCACTCATCCTCCTCCCACCATCCTCAGCGGGGACACAGGGTGACAGTGTGGAAAGGCTCCTGCTCTGTGGCCCCCTGCTTCACTCCCCGTCTGCTCCCGGGAGAAGAACAAGGTTTGATTTGGGGGTTTGAAGATGCTTCAGAAAGGGATTTGTGAGCTCCTGGGGTGCCGGCACCACCCCGTGATGGGAACTGCAGCGTGGTAAAGACTTTTGGGTTCAGGGGTTGCAGCCTTTGCCAAGGCTCCTCTCGGAAAAGCTTTGATTTTGCACGTGGGAACTGAAGGCAGAGAGCTGGAGGTTGCCACCACGGCACCGGTCCAGGCCCTGCCGGCACGGGCCAGCGGTGGGATGTGTGCAGTCATGTCGTAGGAAACTGCTGTCTAAGCTTGTTGAATGGCAGCTCACCCTTCGGGTTTCCCAAAATGGGCAGTGCGAGCAGTGATCTGGGACTTGGACGGGTCTCCTGTCCCACCCCAAGCCCCACTGGACCACAGCCTGATTTCCAGGAACACGACAGCCCTGAACGTCAGGCTCAGCTGAGCTTATCACTGCACCCTTGGAAGATCTCCCATTTTCTGTCTCTTTATGTGGGCCTGTCCCAAATCCTCAGCCAGTGATGGAAGAGCACCAGCCAAGTTGGATGCATGAAGGTGGGCGCTGGGAAACCCTGGTCTTGCGTTTGCTGCTGATGCCCTTTTCCACCAGTTAGACTCGGGATGCGTTTGGGTCCAATCCCAAAGGATTTTGCCTTTCTTCCCAGAAAGTGTTGGTGGCTGCTGGGTCCCTTCCCAGGGGGAAACCGAGGCACCGGTGACTTTGCAGAGACTGTTTGCTCCAAGCTGGTTTGTCCTGTCTCAGCTCCCCAGCTGCAAAGGCTGCCCCTTCCCAGGAATCTGTAACAGATGCAGGGTAGGAAAACATCTGGCAGGTGTTTAGCAGGTTATTGTTCTTTGTTGTTCCCTTAAATTGGTGTTTTATTTGGATGGTACTGAAGGATGAAGCACATTCCCACCTGCCAGACGAACGAGAGCAGCTTGCAGGGTAACACGGAGATGCGGCTGTGGAGGATGCAGAGATTCAGTTGTGGGATGAGTTATGGGGCAGTAGGATGGCTTTGGGAGACAAGAGGCAGAGTTTATTTCCCAGTGAGTAGCTCAATATTTGCAGAGGACTTTCAATGTGAGGCACAGGAACATGGGAACTGCCCCACATTCGTGGAGAATGGATTTTGCTGCTGATGGCCGTGGCCTGCAGTGATGTGTTTGATGGGATATTATCTGCTAGGGTGGCTTCTCATCACCTCGGAACAACCCAGGCTCTGCATGGAAGAGTCTGCAAACAGCAATAGCTCCTGGAGCCAAGCAAATAGAGCCGAGGCCAGCAGAAATGGTGACACAGAGAAATGTCCGTTGGCACAACTTGCCTCTCCGAAGTCCCACAGAAACCTGCTGGGTCAAGTCCCAGTCCCTGTTTGTGTTGATGTTAACCTGGAGGGAACTGTGTGGCCTGGTGGGATTGGTCTGGTCTAACATGGGGATAACCAAGTTGTTCATCCTCCGACTACCTGGCAAAGAGACCAAGGAGTCGGGCTTGGCGTGGGGCTGTGTGATGCCTCTCCAACCCTGAGGGGTGGTGGTCCCTGGGCTTTAGCTGGGTGCTGGGCAAAGGGGCTATTTGGCTTTGTTGGGGGTCATGGACTGGCTGGGGATGGGGATGGGGCTGGGGGACCTGCAGGTCCCTCCATGGATCTCACCATGGATTAGTGGTTGGTGCATCATCCCCGTCCTGGGAAGCTGCCAAGTGTCAGATGGGGAAATCCTGACTTCTTGTTTAGGTGCGTGATTTTTTTATTTTTGCTCATTTTAATGGCCTTTATGTTTCAGCCAGGGCCCTCTGCTGCTGGATGGTGACAGGAGAGAGGGAGAGAGGAAAAATAATCCATGTGTGAGGGTATGCTGGCCCCCTCCCTCCCCACTGCTCAGCCCCATCGCGCCTACCTCCATAGGGGGGGACCCTGCTGGATGCCTCATCCCGAAGGGTATCCCGGCATTTCCTATGTTACTAGATCAGGATCTCCATTGCAGTCATTATACATAAATATGTATGTATGTATATGTGAGAAACACCGACTCACATCTTAGAATTTAAAGAGGACAAAGTCACCGAAGCAAAGGTTAAAAATAATAATAATTTATTAATACGAAACAGCGCTGAATCGGGTGCACCAAAAATAGATGCACGATGATCTTTCATCTTTCAGGTATTTTATACCTTTATCCCGGCCGCTTGAGTCTCTGTCTCTCTTCTCATTGGCTGAGAAGTTGGAGCTCACATTCTTCCCGACCGCTTGACCTATTACAGGTTTATTTTGCACTTTTTCCCATATAAGGCACACACACACCTATTCTACGAAATTATTATCCTAAACACGCCTTTGATTAGTTGATTAAGCTACACGTTATTTCAGAGTCTTTGCTACCATCTACTTGGCAGATTTACCAGACTGGTTTCTTTGGCCTTATTGATGCTCCCCTACCCTTTGGGTTTTTGTGTTGAAGGCCATGTTCTAGTCTGTTTCTCTTCACCTAGATAATGCTCTGTGAACAAGGATCCTTTGACAGACCGAGGACATTTCTGGGGATTAATTGGATACAATTTATTAGACTCTACTATTACTAAGGCTTCTTTGTTAGTATTATCACACTAACAATGATACATCAATTAGCTGAAGCAAAACTTAGCTTATTTCCCACATATACGTACATATTATAGAAACTGTTATGCAGACTCTCCGGGAAGCTTTTTTTAGAGGTGTTATCAACAGGATGTGCCTTCAGCATGTGACAGCCGGGTAGGAAGCCCCAGATAAGGGCTTTTCTTTACAGCTTTGCTGCGCCCAGAGTCCCCTGGCCTCTGTTGGACTCCGTCGGGGCTCACCAGAGACCCTTCCCCTGGGGACAGGTAGGACTCATGATGTGATGCTCCCTCCATCGGTTGGCATTTTGGAGAGCTCATGGGGTTTTTTTTGAAGTGGGGAACAAGCTCTTTGACACAGTTGGAGCAGCCCCCCCCCGCTCCCACCCCCCAGCTGCTTGGGACAGGGGAGGAAAAAGCACCCAAGAAACATCCCCCTCCCCATCATTGCCCTTTGGCAATAAATGGGGACAACAGGGCTGGAGCCATTAAAATCGCACCCAGCAAGATGATCTGGGGAAGGTTTGTAGATACCCTGGTGTTAAAATCCTGCTACGTAACATTGTGTGATGGCTGTGACCCCTTCCGTGGGGCAAAAAGTACCTAAAAACATATGGTTTCAGGTCTGGTTGTACCTGGGTACAGCAGAGCATGGCAGAGTTTGGCACCACCAGGCTGTGAGCTATGTAACGGTGGCAAAACAACACTCCAGTCTGCAGGGTTTGTACCCACATCAGGGTTTGCACCCACACCAGGGTTTTCCCTTCACAACCACGTGCTGGCTGTGGTGTAGAAATCCCCGCAGGGCACATCCTGCCATCGTTTGGGGTGATCACTAGGTCCTTCTGCCCCCCAGTGATGTCCCTGTAGGTAGGATTGGAGGGGAGCACAGGGTTTCTCTCAAGGTGTTTACTGGTTTCTGCTGGGCAAAATAGGATCTTCTTGTGGCTCACGACTAAGTTTAGAAAACAGAGTTTATATATATAGTAAGCTTTTGGTTAAAAGCTGTCTTTTTAATGATGAACGTGCACCCAAGTTTTGCTTGGGGACAAAGCCATTCCCTCCTGCTTGTGACTTTGGGTAACTCACTTCCCCTTTCCGTGAATCTTTCTTCTTTTTTTTTTTTTTTTTAAGGACTAAGTTTATATATAAGTTTATATAAGTTTATATATATAGTAAGTAACTTATATATAGTAACTTATATATATAAGTAACTTATATATATAAGTTTATATAAGTTTATATATATCGACTAAGTTTAGAAAACAGAGTTTATATATATAGTAAGCTTTTGGTTAAAAGCTGTCTTTTTAATGATGAACGTGCACCCAAGTTTTGCTTGGGGACAAAGCTATTCCCTCCTGCTCGTGACTTTGGGTAGCTCACTTCCCCTTTCCGTCAATCTTTCTTCTTTTTTTTTTTTAACTCTTTCTCCATCTCTCCCCATCAAGGGGGGAGTCCATTGGGAGCCTTTCTCTTCCTTAAGCCGTATCAAAGAATTTAGCACATGGGGGCCTTGATCTTCCATTACCACCATCAATAACGAGTGCAGGTAACTAATTGCACAGGTGTATGTCAGCCTCTCTGGGGCGGGTGGGATTCCCACTGGAGCTTCAGGGAGGAAAAGGAAAAGAAAAAAAGAGGGAAATACTGCAGCCCTGGTCTGTGGTGCTAACCCCAGGGAGGAAGGGGTGAGCTTGGTGCTTTGCAGGGCCATGACTTCCAGCTGGAGTCATCTGTGTGCTCCTGCGTGCGTTGTGTGTGCTCCTGGAGGGGTGGCCCATCCTGGCACGTCACATCGCCGCGCTGGGCTGCCGTTTCCCTGCTTCACACGTCGGGTTTTGTTCTTCTCAACAAACACACGGGGCAGAACAACAGGAATAATCCCCCCCTTCCACACACACACACACCCACACACCCTTTTCCCATTGATGTTGGCGCTGGGGCTGTGTGAACCCGCAGGCAGCTGCGGTCGCAGCGTGGTCCCCAGGGCATCGCCAGGGCAGGGTCGGGGATTATTTGTAGTGAGAAATCCCTGGGAAAGAGACACTTCCCCTTTGCTGGAAGAGGAAAAGGCCACCAGGTTGGGACTGTCCAGGCTGGTGAACTCCACTGATGTTGTGGCTGTCACTTTATTGCAGCAGCTATTGATAAAAGTCCCGGAGGTAAGAGGCTGGCTGGAGCCCAGTGAGCTCCTGGTGTGGAAGAAGGGCTCTGTTTGCCATCAAGCTCTGCACGGGGCAAATGTGGCAGTGCTCGCCCTCTTCAGTGCCAAGACCTGCTGTGTGAGGTGGCAGCAGCTGCTCCAGGTCACCCTGCTGGGTATGGAGGGGCCAGGAGCTCACCCCAAATCTCGACCCCTGTGTGTTGCTGCAGCAGCGGGACCAGCCAGCATCCTGGTGGGGATTTAGTATGAGGGCTGTTTAGTATGAGGAAGAGGAGGCTGAGGGGAGACCTCATCACTCTCTACAACTACTTGAAAGGACACTGTAGAGAGGTTGGTGCTGGTCTCTTCTCACAGGTAATTAACAATAGAACGAGAGGGAATGGCTTCAAGCTCCAACAGGGTAGGTTTAGATTGAATATTAGGAAGGAATTTTTCACTGAAAGAGTGGTCGGGCATTGGAATAGGCTGCCCAGGGAGGTGGTGGAGTCACCATCCCTGGATGTGTTTAAGGGACGTTTAGATGCGGTACTGAGGGATATGGTGTAGGGGAGGACTTTGTAGAGTAGGGTAGATGGTTGGACTCGATGATCCCAAGGGTCTCTTCCAACCTAGACGATTCTATGATTCTATGATTTGTCCCTGAAAGCATGCCCATGTGTGCAGCTGTCTTCATAGATGACCCAAATTTCTCTTTCTCTTCCCAGAAACCTTCATCCCTGAAGACCTCAGCCTTGGGTTTCACGTTGTGCTGAGCCTCTGCCCTCACCCTGGCCGGCACTGCCCATGATGGCGTTGTGTCTCAAGCAAGTCTTCAACAAAGACAAAACGTTTCGTCCTCGAAAGAAGTTTGAGCCGGGCACCCAGCGCTTCGAGCTGTACAAGAAAGCTCAGGCCTCCCTCAAGTCTGGGCTGGACCTGAAGGCAGTGGTGCAGCTGCCTCCCGGCGAGAGCATCAACGACTGGATCGCCGTGCACGTGGTGGACTTCTTCAACCGCATCAACCTCATCTACGGCACCATGTCGGAGTACTGCACGGAGAAGAGCTGCCCCATCATGTCGGGGGGGCTCAAATACGAGTACAGGTGGCAGGACGATAGCAAATACAAGAAGCCAACCAAGCTGTCGGCCCCGCAGTACATGTGTATGCTGATGGACTGGATCGAGATGCTCATTAACAACGAGGACATCTTCCCCACCAGGATAGGTGAGTGTGCTCTGCTTCTTCGCGGGAAGGCTGGGATTGTAACCAGTTCGTTTTCCCAAGCCACTGGTGCGCCTCAGGGTTGGTAGTGCTGAACTTTGTGATCCCAAGGATAGTGGCCTTTCCTACTCAATGTCCATCCCCCACCCCCTTGCTGCAAACTGAGCTTGGGATTCCTCATCTGACTCCTAAGGGATTCTGGGCTTGAACTTTTTCCAAGTATTCTGTGCTTGTGAGAAATGAGGGCTGGTAGCTCATCAGCTTCCCTGCCTTTCCTCAAGGAGCCACAGGGCTAGTTGGAGGTGGTCATCACATGTCTGCAGTCTGTTCTTCTCTCGACTAACCAACTCGATTTCTTTCTGGTTCTCCAGGTAGGTTCATGTTCCCAAGGTCTAACCCTCGTCCTACTCGCTGCTCCACTTCTCAGCTCTTTCCATCTCTGCTAATTCATCTCAGCCTGTGTTCCCAAGGTCTAACCCTCGTCCTACTTGCTGCTCCACTTCTCAGCTCTCTTTCCATCTCTGCTAATTCATCTCAGCCCCGATTATAACATCACATCTTACTATTTAGCTGAGCCATCACCCAAGCAGAGATGCCTGACCCAGGACCTGGCCTTTCCAGCTGCCAACCCCCCAGCTTGTACGATGCATCCCTTCAAAAAGTTTGGCCTGAGGAGCTTGCAGCAGCTGCCAAAGGCAACACAGCTGGCAAACTAACCCTGCTGCTGCTCACTTGCAGCGCTCAGCAGCTGCTGGGGCCGGTGTTAGCCCTGCTGCTTAGCTGCTTTCTGGTAGTTTGGGGAGATGACTCCAAGAGTTTGGAGCTGGTGTGTTGGCTGGTGGGGCTGCTGGAGCCTCAGGTCATACCTCCGAGCTATTGCTTTTCAGATGAACCACAAAACTACTCGAATGTAAAATAAGATTTAAGGAGCTTTGGCGGGGAACGCCTCGCTTTGCAAGTCTGCTTGACCTTTTCAGTTTTCCCAAGCAGCACAGCTGACAGAGCCATATGAAATCAGTGCAGTTTAGGCTCAGGATTTTGATTATTATGCTGGGAAGCGTTGAAGAAAACGATCCATGTGGGATTACTGGCTGTCACTAATTGCCGCAGCCCTTTTTGGCTGCGTTGCAACGTCTAGTTGCGTGTCTTTTTTGTGAAAGTCTCCAGCCCTCAGAGGCTCGGAGGGGTCCCGGCTCTCTGGTGGTGCCTGTGGGTGGGTTGTGCCAAACTCTGGATTTCAGCTTTCTGAGATGGGGTGATCCCCTGGTGTGACCTGGCTGGACCGACTTTGCCTGGGGTTAGGGTGGATCTGCTGGAGGCAACTTCTGAAGAGAAAGATCTGGGGGTCCTGGTAGACAGCAGTGCTCTTGTGGCCAGGAAGGCCAATGGAATCCTGGGCTGCAGAGGGAAGAGCGTGGCTAGTAGGTCGAGGGAAGTCATTCTCCCCCTCTACTCTGCACTGGGGAGGCCACAACTGGAATACTGCATCCAGTTCTGGGCTCTCCAGTTCAAGAGGGACAAGGAGCTACTGGAAAGAGTCCAGCGAAGGGCAATGAAGATGATTCAAGGATTGGAGCATCTCCCTTATGAAGAAAGGCTGAGAGAGCTGGGACTCTTTAGTCTGGAGAAGAGAAGGCTGAGGGGAGACCTTATCAATGCCTATAAGTACCTAAAGGGTGGGTTGAAGGAGGAGGGAGCCAGACTCTTTTCAGCGGTTGCCAGTGAGAGGACAAGGGATAACAGGCATAAGCTGGAACATAGGAGGTTCCACTCAAATATGAGAAAAAACTACTTCACAGTGAGGGTGTCAGAGCCCTGGAACAGGCTGTCCAGGGAGGTTGTGGAGTCCCCTTCTCTGGAGATTTTCAAGCCCCGCCTAGATGCAGCCCTGAGTAACATGCTCTGACAAGCTCTAGGCAATCCTGCTTCAGCAGGGGAGTTGGACTAGATGATCTCTATGGTCCCTTCCAACTCTAAGAAATTCAGTGAAATTCAGTGAAACTCCCCTTCCGGGGGTTTCTGTCTCTCTCCTTCCATCACCTGAAGCCAAGACCTGCAGGCAGGTCACTGCCACCTGCCCCTCGCTGGCGAGCTGAGAAAGGCTGGGTACCGTAGTGCTGGATCCTCGTGCTGGAGGACAGGCAGGTAGGTGGGATTCACCAGGGGCATCCCCTGTGCCACGGGGACATCCCTCCCTCCTGGGCTCAGTGGGCTCCACACATGCCGGTGGAGGGAGGAGGCTGGAAGTGTGGCTGGCTGACAGCGTGGGTGCGGGATGCTCCATGCGGGATGCTCCATGCGGGATGCTCCATGCTGGCAGCCCCAGCTCTGCCGGGGACAACAAAGTCCCCGTTGATTCTGGCTGCAGCTGGGCACAGGCTCGCTGCTGCCAAGGGGTACAGGCTGGGTTTTCCTCTTCCCGAGGCAGCTCGTTCCCAGGGAGAAGCTCTGCATGCCATTAAAAGCAGGGGTGCAGACGTGGATTTACTCTGGTTTTCCTCTGGCCAGAAAGCAGAGTGTCCTGGTCCAACTTTGTGCCTTTCAGGTGGGACTTTGGGATGTGATACTGCTGGAAAGCTGCTGAAAGTCTTAACACTACAGAGAGCAGGGGATCCCATGGAGGGACGGCGGCATCGCAGCACCCTCCGCTCTCCCAGCATCTCCCTCTGAGGCACAAAAGCCAAGTAGAGTTGTGGACCTGCTGGTTTTCACCCTATTTCTGGCACTTCTCCCTCCGAGGTGTCACACATCCCGACATGGGGAGGGACGGCTGCTGCCTCTGGTTTCCACTTCTCCTTTTTTGCTGGCGTGGGGGTAGTTCTGGGTGAGACCCAGGCTGGCTGCAGGCAGTCGTGGGGCAAACCTATGTTTTCTCTCTTCCAAAGCCACTCCCAGGGTCCCTCTTCCAAGCCCCTTTCTGGGGAGGTGACCCTCATGTCCCTGAGTGACTCCAGACCCCTTGCTGGCGTGTCTCGGCGCTTCTTCTGGCCTTGCACATGTAAAAGGGAACTTAGTCTGAGATGGCACGTTAAAACACGTGAAAGGCCGTTGTGGGAGGCAAAGGGAGGAGGGAGCCGGTGGCAGTTTGTCATCAGTCTGTCCCCAATTAACTGCCTTTCACCGGCCTGCCGTGTGCGCCGGGTAATTGCTCGGCAGCTCTGGCATTTCAGAAGATGGAGGTGTTTGGCCAAAGGGAAATGTCACATCCGCCCGTTCCCCACGGGCTGATCCTCGTCGCCACCACGGATGGCGGGGGGGGCTGGGGGACATGCAGCGGGGAGGGACACGGGGCTCAGGGACAACGGCCAGGGCGAGCAAAGGGAGATGCTCAGGCTCCCTCCTGAAGAGCCAGTCCCTTGGGAAAAGACCCTGGACAAGGAGGAGGAGAAGTCTGACAAGGTGATGGAGGGAAAAATACACGTCCTGCTGTGGGGTTGAGGTGAGACTCTTCAATATTAGTAGCAGAGACGGGATTTAGCAGGAAGGTTTGTTCCACTCCTGCCTGTGCTGGAGAGGTCCACTGGCACGGCTGACCATGTCAGCGGGTGTTTCATGAGCTGTGGTGCATCTCAGCTTTCCCTCCTGGCCCCCCTTTGCCATGTGCAATAGAACTGTCCCAGCACAAATATTTCCCTGGCTAAGGCCACCTGACCACAGACAAAACAGACTTTTTTTTTTTTTTCTTTTTTGAGAAACAGCAAGTGTTCCCCAAACTTGCTAACGCTGCCTGAGGCTAACCTCAGCATCCTTCTCCACCCAAAAGCTACAAAGCCTGAAGCAGCACATGATTCAGCAGGGCTCACGGCTGTCCTGACATGAGAGGAGGTATCTCATAGGTCAGAGGGGGGAAACCCTTCACCGTGGGGTGACAGGCTCAGCTGGAAATGGCTTGTGGGCTCACAGGATCCTTTGGCATCACGGGGCAGACTTTGGCTGGGGCAAATTGGCATAACTCCAGTGACCCAGAGCAAGAGCTGAGCTGATTTGCACCACCAAAGCATCTGGTCCTTCAGCATGTGTCAGAGGTGGGAGCGGGGCAGGGTGACCTTGGCTGACAAACACCTTTGGTTTAGCCAAACTGCGGGATGCAGAGCTTGGGCCAGCTCTGCTGTGAGACTGGAGGGGCAGCCCACATCTGAAAGGGCATCAGATGCCAGCAGACAGCTTGTGACCTGGCAGAGTTCACCAGCAGGTCTGCAGCCCCGGGATGGCATGCTTGCACCAGTAGAAAAATCCTCATGGTGGTTTAATGGGGCCAGGGGTGGCTGCCAAACGCTCTGCGTTCCACAGCAAGGGTCGGGGGGAGATAGTCCATCCTCCCCAGGGAAATCCATCTGCAGGGCTTGGTCCCACTTAAAAGCTTTGCTGTATAATCCTTCCTCTGGAGCGGAAACCTGTTTGTCTGCTGGTCAAGACGAGACAAATCCCAGCATGGGGAGAGCTATGCCAACCCAACCGCTATAAATCTACAGCAGCAGCAGCTTTCCCAGACGACCCGTATCAGTTTGCGTGTGCTGGTGCTCTCTTTCCACTCTTCCAACCGACGGAGCTGTCCTGAAAAATATATTTAAATGGAGAATAAGCATCGTTCCCATGGAGAGAGAAGAATAAATGATTCTGCAGGTGTATTTTTACCAGCTGGTAAAATTATATCAGCAGATTTCTTCAGTGAGCGGCCACGTGAACAAATTACCACTTGGAAAATATAGAATCATAGAATCATAGAATCATCTAGATTGGAAGAGACCCTTGGGATCATCGAGTCCAACCATATACCCTACTCTACAAAGTCCTCCCCTACACCATGTCCCTTAGCACTGCATCTAAATGGCCCTTAAACACAGCCAGGGATGGTGACTCCACCACCTCCCTGGGCAGCCTGTTCCAATGCCCTATCACTCTTTCGGTGAAAAATTCTTTCCTAATGTTTAATCTAAACCTACCCTGTTGGAGCTTGAAGCCGTTCCCTCTCATTCTGTCACTAATTACCTGTGAGAAGAGAC